AGAAATAAAATGAACTTTTTTGATTTTAGCAAATGGCTGCAATGAAACAAAGAGTGCAAAATTTTAAGGGGTCTGAATACTTTCCGTACCCACTGTATAAATATATACCAGTATGTATAGTGTGTATATAGATATAGATAGATGGATGCAAACCTTCATAGACTTTTGAAGCGGGCTATGTTTTGTATTAATAGTGTGTGCGGCTGACAAAGAAATAAAGTTGTCTTATTTATTAACCTCTTTTGTTGGATTGCTGACTACCCTTGGTAGTAGCAAGACTTGCTACATATGTGTGTGTGTGTGTGTGTATATATATATATAGGCAACAGCTCCTCTGGCGGGCCAGGACTAGCAGTTGCTGGTTCGCAGTTCATTTTATGTAAAAAACGTAGCTGTCATACCAGCCTCAGAAAGAAAAGTGTAGACATTTCACATTTCAGTCCTCTGCTAACCGTAACCCTATCTCACCTTTGCAGATACGGTGTATTTGAATCAGGTTAGCTGATGTTTATGTGAATCTGTCTGCAGGACCTCGTCTGTCCGGAGGCCACAGTCTGCATGAGACATCGTCTGTCCTTGTGGAAACTGTCAGCAAGTCCTCAGCGATGGGAGGGGCCTTCGCCTCTTTACCCAAATTCTCCTCAGACGCCAGTAAAGTCATCTCCAGAGGCGCCGGCCTATCGAAGGCCTTCGTAGGTCAGAAGAACACGTTCACAGTCGACTGCAGCAAAGCAGGTGAGAAACATCTCAGAATACAGACAGGAGGGATTTGCTCTCTGTCTCAGATAAAAATGTAACATGGATTGATGTTCTTCACTCTACAGGAACCAACATGTTGATGGTGGGCGTTCACGGGCCGAAGACTCCCTGCGAGGAGGTGTACGTCAAACACATGGGCAACAGGATGTACAATGTCACGTACACCGTCAAAGAACAAGGCAGCTACATCCTCATCGTCAAATGGGGGGACGAGAATGTCCCCGGCAGTCCTTTCCATGTCACCGTCCCTTAAAACTGAACTCTTCATCTCTCTGTCAGTCACTCCGCTGCAGCTCCTCAAACTCCTCTTCCTCATGCACTGAAAGCTCAGAGTATTCACTTCCTGTTAAAGCGGACAGTTTTCACGCTCTGTGCCAAATCTTTCATTTATTTCATTCTGTTTGTTGTGTCTCTGGAAACTCGCCGCCAGCAACAACAACAGTTTATTTGTTGACATTTATGGAAATGACACCATATCCTCAGTTACAGATTTCTCTGGTGGCACGTCTGCATTCAGTTCAGTTTTACAGCCAAACACAATATGAACATATTGACCATGAACACAACCTGTGTATCCTGATTCTAAACTGCACTGTAGAATTAACGTCTGTCTGAGCGTCATCTCACCAACATTAATAGCAGTTCAACTTTAAACTCTGTTGATTTGTGCTTTGATAGTGGTGACCTTCAAAGGTAGGGAGAATCACAGTCCGAACGTTAGTTAATATCAGAGGATATTAACTATCAAGAAATTATCATGTTAGCGCAAGATACTACCTACTGCAAACAGGATAATAAATTGTGCACAAAAATATCTTGTTTGCAGTATATCAAACTTAAATCTAACCTAATTAACGGTATCTTGTATATGCAAGTTAGTACCTTCACTCAAGTTAGCATCTTGTTTACACAAGTTTAATATGTTACATCAGAGCCGAAGATAAAAAATAAATAACCTCCAGGACTTAATTTGATCTTTAACTCATTAAATATCAACCTTCCTCAGACTAAATGATTCAGAGTTCAGTGAAAGACAATCTTCCTCTCAGGATGATGAAACCATTCAGCAGATCTTTTTACTATCAGGATTTCTTTGTGTAAATTCTCCAGTTTTCTGAAAGTTTGATGATACAGCTATTGTTAAAATCATCGTTTTATATCTGGTCTGGTCAAACCTGTGTTGTAACGGTGTCTTTCCACCAAGCTGCAGTCGAGATTATGGAGGACAAACTGTGCTGTGACTTTATTTCAAGAAAAAAAACCTCTTTGCTTTTGATTTTATTTATTCTTTTTGCCCTCATTTTATTTTCTTTGACAGAAAATGGTCTTATTGTTGAGAAAGAGCAGGTTGATCTTCGTTCATGAATTATGCGGATGTGACGATTTAATTCTCTTTTTGTACCACAGGAAGAAATGCGGTGAAACAATCGGTTTATTTTTTGAATGTTTAAGAAACACAGGTGATGTTGCAATGACACAATATTACAGAGTGACATTTTATAGTGATTTTGTATGTATCAAAAATGAATGAATGAAATGAATTTTAACTGTTTGATATGTTAACCTTCAATCTGGCAAGATTGTGCAGGCATAATAAAAGCTTATTCGCTAACTTGCCACAAAGAACCTCTGATGGTCATCTCCTTTCATTGATTGAATGAATCAGTGATTCTCACTGCTGGAAGAAAGTGAATAAGATGCTGTTATCCATTCAAGCAAGCTAACGTTAGCTAACGTTATCCAGCTAACAGCACAATCAGACAATATGTTCCACAAGCTTTGCAGTAATGTTAGCTTTGACTTTGAACTTGTGTCGGTCGTTTGTAGATGTTAGTGTACTCCATTGCAGTAAAAAGTACAATATCACTCTGTATAAAGTAGCATAAAATGGAAAAACAAGTAAATTACAAGTACTTCAAATTGTACTTAAATACATTTATTTACTTACTTTACTTATGTAAATGTTCTCTTCTCTTTTGGGAAATTGTTCCCTTTTTTATAAACTTTGCTCTCACTTTGAGTCTCAAGTTCATTTTCCAACCACAAACTTTGTGCTGACATCTGAACTCAAGCAGAGCTGCAGTTTCTGTCCCTCCTGGTTGTTGTTTGGATGAAACTTTAAAGATCCCTGTGGGGAAAAACGGCTCTGACTGAAACTCTGAAACACATCAGAGACAGAGTCCACCGAGAGGAGCTCAGTCTGTCCGAGCCTCAAAGACGAGATCGAGACCAGCAGACGATGAAAGTTTAATCCACTGAGAGACCAGGGTCAACATTAAAATATCCTCATTTTATCCGACTGACTCTGACATTGCTTCATGCTGGGTATCGCCTCGTGGCCACCAGAGGAAGGTATCATCAGAACATGAAGAAAATCTTTTAGCGGAGCCAATTTCTACAAATAACAGTGTATTTATCTAAAAGCAGATAGAGACACTGAAAACATCTGATGAAAAAGTCACAGAAATGTCTTAAATTATGTCCCAGAAAGTAACAGTCAATTATAATGTGACAAATTAAAAGAATTGAGAACATAATCTGACACAATAAAGTAGAGAAAGTGATGTAAAGATATTATTATTTATGATATTACTAATTTCCAAAACTGGGACTAACATGTGGGAAACTATATATTTAAATCATCAGATTAAGGAGCTGATTTTACATTAAATAGATGTTTTATGACATAAAGTTAATACATAATTAATAAAAATAATCTTTATTGATACAAAAAGTGCTTCACACAGAGATTTTAACTCGACCACAACTAGATAAAAGTGTATATTAACTGAAACTGTGAATCTGTACATTATTGTTCATATTATTATTCATATTATTATTATTATTCATATTATTATTATTATTATTGATCGCAGTGTACACTGCCAGAGCTTCAGGCTCGTCCTGCATGAGAAAGCAAACAACTGATGGAACAATGAGAATAAACAGTGAAT